TTTTGCTCCCGTAACTCCTCCGGGAATAAACAACACCTGCACTCCTGCTCGTGAGAATCTGACATGAAGTTCTCTGGGTGATGCGAACAGAGTGAGGAAGTCTTGAGGGTGAAAACATCCCGTGGTGCCATCGCAAGTGAGGAAGGGGATGGTGCGGGAGAACCAGAGCTCACATCCGAAGTTGCCTCCAGCATCCCTGGCCGTGCAGAAGCGAACATGCGATTGCGAGCAGAATAAGGCATTAGACTCTGATCTGGCTTCTTGAAGTGCTGCGACCTGGACTCCTGCACCTTGGAGCTGCTCGCGCAGATAGCGTGCACGACCTGTGAAGCCATCAGTGCATTTAACGCCAGCGTTGTCATCAGTCCTGTCAGCGAGAGACTGTACATTGATGGTGATGATATTGAGAGTCACCCTCAGACTGGCTCCAACACCATTCGGGTTGGGGTCCGGCTGCAGGCCGAAGGCTTGCCTACACTCAATCTCAGATAGGGGCGAGCTGTCAGCAAACCTGTGCCCATCAACAAAGGAAGCCCCTACATGTTGTGGCCACATATCCGGAAAGGCCGCAGCTTCGATCTGAACCCAAAGCCAGGCCAGGGCACCTTGACGAATCCACTCAGCAGCCCAGAGCTGGTGGGGAGTGGGAGTCACCCCATGGCCCCTGTTGGCGCTCTTAGCCAGGTGATCCGCGAGCTCATTGGCGGGGTGCCCCTGATGAGAACGGACATGGGAGATCTCAGAATCAAGGGTAGGCCTGGCTGAACACGCAGCCTGCATGGCGGCACGGCATAGCGGGGCAAAGCTGTCAGCATCGCTCCAGCCAAAAGTGCCCGTGGCCTGTTGCAGCGCAACAAGGCAGTCCGACACGAGATGGGAACGAAAGTGCCGTGGGGACTGCATGAGCCAAATAGCGGCCCAGAGGATAGCATGTTGCTCGCCACAGAGGGCGCTGTGACGGCAAGGCTGCAGAAAGAGAGGGTCCGCAGCGTCGGTATGCACCTGGCCGGCAGACCACCCAATGAAGGTAGTCCGGTCTCCCTGACTACCAAAAGCACAGAACGACCAGGAAGAGGCAGCTCCGTCGTAAGACCCATCGGTGTAGATGGTAATCTGCTCATAGCATGGGGCAGTTCGCGGAGAATCCCCAAAAGCACACTTGGCAAGAAAGTCCTGCACACATGCCGGCAAAGGGGGCTCGGAAGGGAGATCGCCGCAAAGTGGCCAAACTGCTTCCCTTGTCCACTGAACAACTTGGTCAATCGTCTGGTGAACCGGCAACGACACCGCTGAGAGGTCGACGGTAACGGCTGTGGGGAGGGAATCAGCGAGGCTGATCCGTCTGGCACCTGGTGGGTGCCCGGTTCGTCTCTCGGTTTCATGTTCAACAACTGCCTCAA